CCGCGCGCTAATGCGCGGCTATCATTTATTATTCGAATGCGTCTCCTATATTTAACCGGCTGCGAAGGCGCCGTGTTTGTTTCCGTACGCCGGGTTCATCGTCTCGATCTATTCCGGTTTTTTCGATTTTCTTTTTCCGCCCCGGCTTCCTTTACTCGCTTACCGTCGTTTCACATCGCGCTCATCTTCCGTCATGTCCTCTTTCACGTGTCTACCTAGTCATATCTCATATCAACCTACCGCTTACAATGTCGAGCGCGCTCGCGACCTCGTTTCGTCCGCCCGAGCTGCTTTAGCAAATGCGATAGTTTACATCAGCGTACGCCAACTTCCTGGCCACGTGGCTCGCGGAGAAGAGAGTCGGAATAGAGAGAGGACAGTGACAAAGAGTCACGTCTATTCTTGCGGTTTCCCTCATGGCAATCGTCATTGTAAGCTAGATAATTTTACATGAAGGAGCCATTTATTTGCAATGACTGATTATTTTTTTTATAACGAACAATAGAAGTCGGAAATCGAAAACTGTTTCGTAATATATGAATGCACTAAATTAACTTAAAATCTCTTTTTTTAGAGAAAAAATTCAAATTTAAATAATAATAAAATTTTAACAAAGTTGAAAGCTTCTCTCCTTTTTTTTCTCTTATTAAGAATACATATCGCAAAATGCAGTCGGTTTGAATAGCCTGCGTTTTGAAACGGTAAACACATAATCATTTCGAACCGACACCGACTCGACTCGCGTCAATCATCGTATAAGAGAGGCAGAGTAGTGGTAGTTTACTTTGGTGCGTACCAAGTTCCTTGCCACATGCTTGGAGAAGCCGAAGGAACGTAATAGAGCGGAAGGGTGAGCGTGCGAGAAGCCGAAGAGAGGCGCGAGGGAACGTCACGTTACGTTCCTCGGCGGAGTGACGTTTCTAATGCGAAACTAAGGAATTAGAACAGTCGCGCTGTCTAATGAGATACTAATTGCGCCGCATTCTCGTTGTATTGACTCGACCGGGGATCAGATAAACATAACTCCGACCGAGGGAAAGTGAAACATGTCTGTGAGATTTAATCAGACTGCTAAATTCACGAACCAGGAAACGGCTTTGATGGGGAAGAGAGCGGTTAAAGTGTCTATTAAAATATCTGTTGAGAAAGCATTTGCGGACGACTGCGAGTCGTAAGAATGATATTTAATTGCAGTTTGTTCCGAAGAAAAGCAATAAATATTCCAACTTTAACCAGAGAGAATCTGGAGATTCGTTGGGGTGTGAAGCCGTCTTCGAGTTTAATCATTTCCAGTAAATCAGCAAAGTTAATATTATCTACTTTAAAACGCGTCTCTCTAACAAAGTTAAATATCAAATGTGCGTCTAACGAAATCGCCGAGGGGAGTATAATTTGTGGTAGCACAACAGAGTAATCACAGTGCTTTCTTACGCGTGCTTATACCGATGCGCTCAACGAGACAAGATAATGTCGTGCATTTGAAAATAAGGTGGAACAAATTGTATGCGCGGATAAATAATACAGTAGAGAATACGCGAAAATGCATGGAAATGCGCATCGCGTGTTAACTCGCGTAGCCTTTTCGCGCATTAAAAAGAAACCGCGTGCAAATTACATCTCGACTTTACTCTCTTCAACGTCTTCTTTTGCGTAATATAAAGTGGTATAATAAATTAATAAATCTGATAAACTGTAATAAAAATGTGAGCGTACGATAAAATTTTATTTATACTACTTGATGTTTGGAAAGAATACTAAATTTAATATCTAGGAAATGCAAACGCGTGATTAAAACATTAAAGTTTCCTAATAGAATCAATTGTTATAAAATATATTACATGTTATAAAACTTAAAGCGGCTTGCATCGTGCAAATTCACGAAAATGCTATCGACATCGGCACCTCGCCGGCTTGAGATGTGACCCATGGGGCTTACGTGAGTGATCGCGAGTAATCGCGCGTTAGCGCTGTATCCGATTACGAGATGTGTATCTTCGAAACACGGCAGTGGAAGCTAACCACTCGTTAAACGCGCGATTCTACGCGCGCTGCACGCGCTTGCATTCGCGCCTTGATGCAGCTCGCGATGCGCGAGGCGGGCGTGTGAGCAGTTTGCGTGAAACGTCGTGTTTCAAAACGTTTGCGTTCGTGGGAAAGACGTCCGAATACCGGGAAGAGACGGACAATTATACGTTGAGCGCAATATTACGAAGAGCCGTAATTGCCATCTGTAATAATTATTCAAAATAGAATAACGCCTCTCGCGTTGCTTCGAATTCATTGATTAATGACGCCTATGCAGCGCCGATGTATATGGTAACTTACACGCGCATTGCGCCAATCGCAAATCAATCGAGAGACACTCGCGCCGAACCGTGCGAATCTATGGTCTTGCTTTCAATTCATTTAATTGTCATCACGTCTACGATATCCGCGAACAGAACAGCCTTGTCATTCAGCACAAAATTACGACTCGCGTTTGTAAATTTAATGAAAACGTTAATCATATTTCCTTACAAGACGATAACCGATAAATCAATAATCAATAAGATGACCTCGAAGGCAAATCATGTGTATCGAAATAAATCTATTTACTTGTCATGTTTAATAAGTTCCACACGATCTTTTCTCTTCGCAATGCTTGTATTTGCTCCGTATTTCTCCGTATGATTTCGTGCGTCCATAAATCGTTGGAGAAACCGTTCGCGATAATAATACGCGATATCAATGCGTTATCTCCGCGACAAAAATAACTCGCAAAAAAATAAAATAATATTTGCGCCAAAATTATAAGTTTAACAACTGATAAAAATTTGTAAATATAAATTAAGCTAGAGAAAACGATAACGTAAGTTGTGTAGAGTTGATACATTAATCAAGTGGAAAAAAAAACAAGAAACAGATGGCTAAATATTACAACTACTACACTTAGTAACGCGAATCTAACTACTGAAAATGAAGCTTGCACGCGCATTCCTCCTTGTATTTCCGTCGAAAGACAAGGTAGATGCAAAACGATATAACGTTTGACAATCGATGATTTGTGCGATAACTCCATTCATGCAATGTAATAATTAATAACGGCGCGCACAAGAGTGCATATCAAGTTTCTCCGCAATACGAGAGAACAATGTATTGTGCAAACAATCGCGCGCTAAGAATTATTTCGTTGGTAAACCATCTCACGGGGTTCTATACTTCACACGCTTATCTCCGCGATAACTCGTGCCTTGATGCATATCGCTCCAATGGCGACCGATGTAATCGCGATATATAACATAATAATAATGAAGAACCGATAAAGATCTCGTAGTACCGGTCACGCCTACAACATATAAAACGCGATGCCATGTAGCAATATAGCGGTCGTGACTGCGCGTCTGGGCGCAATGATCCTTGCGAAGTGACTTTCTTCCCGAGATAACATCGAGGTTACATGAAAAACCAAACGGCAAAAGACATTGAGAGATTATAGTTCCTGCTCCGCCATGTAGACATCCAGTATACATAGATCGATGCTTTCTAAATCTTTTGATTCGCAATCCGAAGTTTAGCAGTGTGTTTTTGCTGGAGTGCAAATAATACAAGGATAGCTCGATGAATTGTACAATCACTCGAGTGAAAAAAACCAGTGACAACGAGATTTTGATATAATTTGAGTTGATTAGATTCTTCCTTCAAATGCTAATTCATTCAATTATATATTTATGAAAAATGACAGTCGTAATTAGTAACGGTGATAGACATTTAAACAGTCTTTGCAAAGAAAATAGATAACGAAGACAAAAAGGGATAGAAAGATCGAAAATATATATGAATGACGAGGAGAATAAGAAAGAGGCGGGCTCGTTGGTAGAACCGGTACCTCTGCGCATCGAGGGCGTAGAACGTCGCAATGAAGCCATTAATCGTTTCTTCAAGCTACGCATTACTCGCAAATGTCTTTTGCTCGTAACTTTTGATGCTCGTTATCGTAAGCTGCCTGTAAGAAAGAATTAACGTCCAAAAGAAAGATTCTTTTGCGTCAAAATTGTGTGCAAGTTTTGAAAACCTAAAACTCTTTCACAATTTTATGAGATATAAAAATATCCTAATCTTTTTACCATCTAAATTAAATATAAATCTCACAGAAAACAAATTTCCAAACAATATTTTGCAATCTTAATTTGTCTCGAGATACATGTGGTTACTTCATTTAGATCTAATGATCATGCTAAAAATATGTTTACACACATGGAATATCGAGGACGTGACACATACTTTATGTCTTATAATGTCGCTGAAAGTTACTTAAGAGTCACTGAAAAAATACCGTTCGTGTTCAAAACGATTCTTAATCGCTATAATGTAAAGATATATGTACCGCGGGCCTAAAATTAGTTGACAATCAACGAGAGGTATCGCGACGAAAAGAAACAAAAAAAGGCCGATAAGAGAAAAGAGGCAGGCAAGACCGCGCCTTAATGGAAACGAATTAACGACCCGTGGAAACGTAAACAGTCGCTCGAATAACGATCAACCAACGAGTGACCAATGGTCATTATTTATGATTATGGATACAACTACCGACAATGATTACTTTTCGTACATACGATCATTATAGATTAATGCGGAAACATTTTAACGAAGACGACCTCGCAAGAGATTTAGCCAACTGTGATGAAGAACCGAGCGTAATGAGCGACGTATAAAGTTTCAAGTAAACAAGAAACTTTAACAACGATATAAATGTTATAAACATAACTCTTTATTCAATAAAAGTTATCATTAAAAGTTTAATACGCACGTACGTTTATGTGATTATTTTGAATCTTGAAATTCTGTTAGTTTTATAATAATTGCGACATCTGGTATCTATGTTCGCGCAAACAATGTTTATGTAAAATTGATAATTGATGACATTGCGCAGAGACTCACATGAATAAATGTAAAATGTATTTAATGAAGTTGTTCGAAGGGACAGGAGTTTTAATCGGTATGTTTTTCTTTTTTGTTCTCAGGACGAAGTAAGTAGCAACCCACGGCAGTTACGAGCCGTGCTCGAGCTAGACGAGACTAATGATGAAACAGCATCAGAGAACGTGAGCTTTTCTGAACGAAACCATTATTATTGTGTAAGCTTATTCCGTGCACTCGATTGCTGGCATGTCTACGTTAAATCAATATCTCAATGACGCGTATGGAAAATCCAGCGGTTTGCAATGAGATTGATTCATCGAAATGTAAGATGACATTAACTACCACTTTTTTCCGATTCGCGTCACAATGTATTGTTATTGTAATAAAATCAACGTTGAATAATGATACACTTATCACTTCAAAAAACACTGCAGAGTACTATGATTAATTAAAGAGATATTATTTTTCTTATAAATAACTCAAAATATTTACTGTTTGCATTAACCGTTTTTGTAGGATTTGCTTTTTTATTGTAATCTATTTTTTTTTTGTACGTATTTCACTCGATGCTTTACAATTAAAAAAAAAATTAATATTCTCTGCATCGCGTACTGCCTTTCCGTTATGTTTATCTTACTTTTCAGCTTCTGAAATGTCATCATTGTTGATGCATGCAGCAATAACAGCCGCAAATCGCAAAAACCTTGCGACATAAATAATTCGAAAATGTGGGTTACAAGGTATCGCTATTCCGCTCGCGATATCGTATATTTGCTCGCAGTCAGCGTAGGAAACACATAAAGCACCTATGCGGAATTCGCGTCCTGGATAACGAGAGCCGACGCGAAGTCGAGGCCTTAAAACTGTCAATCGGGAGCTGCCGGCACGATGAAGGCTCGCGACTCGAGAGAGCACTCGTAATTCTCTCGTGAGTGGAGAATGACTCGGGAGAATCAAGGAGACCTTCCTGCTCGGCTCCGTGTCGACACGCTTAGCCTCGTTTGTCCCAAGTAATGGTCGCAGTCATAACTCAAGCGACTCCACTCGCGGCTCGTTCCTATATCCCGACACGTACCCGGACAAGGACAGGACGATCAGATTCACGGAAAAGACAGGCCGAGATTGGCCGACTCGTCCCGCTGAACGATCTCGCAACTATTTGCACAGCCAGCCGATCGTTCGATCGTTCCATGCGATTCCGACGAGAACATTACGCTTGATCGACCAATCCTTCTGTTTAATTCTCATTATCCGGTGTACACGGTTATTTCATTCTACGCATGTCGAAATCGCTAAATTTTTTATAAATTCTCGATTGTATCTTGAGAAATAATGCTTCGAAATATTTTTAGAAGAATGTCGTAAGCGTAGAACGCAGTTAAAAGCTGATTGTGTCGAAACAGAATGAATAGAATTCAAGACTTTCTTGCAAAATTATTATTCTAGAGGCTCGCTATAGAGAGCGATACTAGAAAGCATTACACTTTCATTTACATGGCTAAGTCTCGTTGAGCTTGCACGACTAATCGGTGAAAATTGATCAAAGTGCGTCTCCGCCAACTGCATAGAAGCAATGATCTTAACGACTTAATGACGCGTTCTCTTCCTTTATATCATCTATTAACTCGCTGGCTTTTAACGAAGATAATAATTATCGACGATAAATTTTGCAACGCTGATTTAATACAATGTGTTTATTACCGACCTATCTGATATATAGACGCAAATAAAGTATAAACAAGAATGATTTTTCTTCTGTAATTGAAACGTTACGTTCCGTCTGCGGCGCGTTTATTTCGATGAACAATAAATTATCCTGTACTTAGTGCCCGCAGTATAAAAAGATACGCGAGATCGCGGGATCGCAAAAACAGTAATGAAAAAAGGGTCGCTTCTTGCAGCAAATCTCGAGGGATTGAATGCTTTATTAATGCTTTATTAAAATGTAATAATCACTTATTGCGCGTCTTTTGCACGACGAAAGCTTATTATTAAACGATCAGTGCTAGATTGTTGCTATAAGTATCGGACGACAGAAACCGCCTTATGTCATGAATATTTAAATATCAAAATAAACACGACGCGGTTTTCCATGTGGGCAACTTTTCTGCATCGAGCACAGCCTGTCACTTGCATCATTTCGCGCAGACTGTCCCAGTTGCACGCGAGCAATTTTAATATATTCCTAACATCCACCGTTGTCCTCGTTGCCGTTTCCCTTCTGGCGATCTTTCGTATCTGTCGATGGTGACCGGGCGCAATTAAGAGGGACGTGACGGGCAAGTAGAGTGGCGCTTTAACGGCAAGGCAGGCAGAGGCAGGTCGTTATACGTATGGAGGACGATGCAATTCGTAGTTGTACGACTTACTTCGCCTATGGCCACTTAATTGCGCGCGGTCGCGTCTGGTTTATCTGAAAGCGAGACGAAAGCGCGGCTAACCGGCACCGAGAGGCTCGCATCACAGTGTAAGCGCATCGTCCATGGTGATCGTCGACACTTATTGTACTGTCGACGCGATCTACGGAAAGTTTCGTTCGTAAACGCTATAATTACCGCGTCTCGGACGACGGTTGTGACGTGAAGATTCGCGATTAAGGAAGAGAGGTGTGAAACGTGAGCGAAAGCTGCGTTGTCGAGAAGTTTACGATTATTATTCATCTATGAACTGAACTTTAAAATATTTTTCTATATTGCTTTGTACTTTCTAATTTGCCTGATTGCCATTATAACTCAGCTTTCTACGCTTACGTATTTCGCTGTCTCATTTATTGCTACAAATTTTTTCAAGATAAATATGTCAAATTTATCTAAAATATCCCGTTAATTAATTTCAACAGTATTTTTGTTACGTTTTGATCGCATAAAATTGAGCTTTTATAATTTTAAAATATAATTCTAATATATTAGAACAGATCGGTTAAAATATCTTTAAACAAGCATGCGAAGCAATCCGCTCTCCGAACACGATCGTCGGCCATTTGTTCCGCGCGGAATCCCGCTAATTTACAGATCATTTTTAACGAATTCTAGACATTACTCTCCCTTTTCATTCTCTGCCGCGCCGCCTTCTCGTTTCTACCAATACGGATGTAATTAAAAGCAACGTGACGAGCAAGCCGAGCAGTAGGCTGAAAGGGCGATCGTGGAACATATAACGTTGCCAATTCGTTACGCGAAAGTCGCCTGAAGGAGAAACTTGGAGGCCGGTAGCTGACGTCTATCTCAAGAATAGAACGGGAAAATTAGTAGCAATTTCTACGGTCAATCTCCAAACAAGACATTTTATAACTTTGTATCTATTTTGTATTTTGACGTAGGTTTTAACGATGCATGCTTTCCGCTTGCGATGCAGAGGCCGCGTTTTACTTTACACTTTTTTTTTTATTATAAAAGTATCCATATGCAAATAAGTAATCAATGTCACGTTTATATTCTTGCTTAAATCACTCAACGCGTGCGACGATCGAACTGATTAGCAATGTAAATGTCATTTCGCTATGCAGTCGCGCGCATGCAGGATGGCACAGCGAAGAAAATGCAATTAAACTGACAGACCGAGCTACGAGCTGACGTCTATCTCAGGAGTAGGACAAGGAAATTAGTGTTTCTACGAGGCCGCACGTCGCCGGTATTCGAGGTACTTTTGGGGTTGCGCTCAGCAGGAGAGGGCACCTTAGCATTATTGGTTTTACCCTCGAGTCTTTGGAGAGGGATTACCGTAAGTGGGAAGGGTGAGAATGAGAAGAGAGTCTGGAGAACGCGAGAAGCTCTTCTTGGTGCGCGTTTCCTACGCTTGACTGCAAGGCTGCTTCGCTTAAGTAATTAGACTGCCGACTGTTTGTTACCTCAGTCATTCCTGAGGAGAAAACTACTACAGAGACGCTACTTTAATACACCCGGTCAATACTTCAATATACTGAAAACAAACATTTATCGATCTGCTTATCGATCGGATGGTCTAGAAAAATTATTTTTTATGTGGACTCTAATAAATTTTAATATTTATAAAATGTATTTTACTCCAAAATATTATTTTATTTTTATGCTGAGAGAAAACCGAAAATTTTGACAGTGATTTTTCTCGAATTATTTTAATTTTGTGATAAATTCAGAAAAAATATTAATTTTATTTAAAAGATACAAGCATAGCATGAGATGTGTCTATATGTATTTTGATAATATTTCTCTTTCTAAGTGTTTTAATGTCTAATAAAATACAAAAATACCACTGACGTGAACAGCTTTGTGAAATATTTTACAAACGCCATCGAGTTCGACAAAGATGAATTTCTTTGAGAGATTCTTATGACTGCACATGTAGAAATCGATCGCGCCGTTGATTGTAAGAGCCAATCAGAGACGGGAAACTAACGACTTAAGCCTCGACGACGGGCGCTGATGCTTGATCGTGCGGAACAAACTGCTTTTCCAATAATATTACTTAAAGCTCATGCTATGATCTTCGCTTTGAATGATTACGCGTTGTAAAACGATTTTCACTGCGAAATTCATACGTGCCGGACGACCCTCGTTGTCGACAGTAATTTACTACCGCGCAGCAACATTCGATAATTATCATTTGCAATGCAACTTATACTCTACTCTCTATAATTTCTGATCTCTCCTAGCCGATCGTTAAAGCCCGGTTCGCAGACAAATTATTTGACAGTGAATAGATCATAATCAAGTAATTTCCCGTCTTGTGAGATTTGTCGTTCTATAACTACGATTCCTTTAAAATTAATATTTGCTAAATTGTCGATATACACATTACAAAAAACGTGAAATTTGGAACGTACAAAATGAAACTTAAGTAGAAAATAATATGAATTTATTTGATTCAAATAAATGAAAGTAAACTAATGCTGCCTATCAATTCTAGTAAGATTCTTTGAAATATAAACTCAGTCATCTCATGTTAAAGCATCCGCAAAATCAACCACGTAAAAAGTTGTCAATTTATACGCTTTTTCCACGTCAGATAGTATATGATTTCTCGTTTGGAAGTGATTGGGCGACGCGTATGGCGCGAGCTGATGATCGCAAGGCAGTCTCGAAATTTCCATGGAATATTCAGCAGATCGGTCCGACCGATAACGCCGGTGTTGATCGTTATGATTTGATTTATACGCAATTATAGCCGCCGGTGCTGCGTATATAAACGCGGTGCCGCGCAGGGCGGTGCACAGTGTTTACCTCGTGAATTATTAGCGTGCGGGAATCAAACGAGAGAAGTAGTCGCGTGGTAAAAACGAGATGCATTTGAATCGCATAATGGTGTTTCGCGCGCGGCCCTTATTTGACGAAGTAAAGCACCGCCGCTCTTTTATTCAACGCGCATGAAAATCTGAATTAAACAAATAAATTCAATTTTACTTTTTATTAAGTAAATTTTAAAAAATTCAGAATATTTTTTATACTAAAAAATTTTTAATTTATTTCCGTGTAAAAATAAGTGTAGTTATATTCACTTTAATATATAAAATTTAATCGTTCTTCGTTAAGTATCTCAATCTTGAAAAAATTAATTTTTTTACCTTTCCATTGAAGTTCTTTATGAAATCGATCAGGATTCGAAGCGAGGATGTACCGTTAGTAACAAAGCTGTCACGGTTTATACGCACATAAGACATGCGACGTGGTTGCAATAACAATGCATTTGATTTACGATAAAGCCGTCACTGGCAGATCCGTCCGACGTTACGACGATTCTGCGCGAATGCATTCGTAGCATGATAAAACGAGTAGGATCGCGACGGAAGGATTTACTTCGTCGGCAGGACGATTCTTCCAGTTGGACGTTTATTCCGTCGACGAACTTTCCGACCTCGACTCCTCCCAAGTGACTGACTTGTTGAAGACACTCGCACATAACTGGACTTAGACCTGGCGCACGAACACGCCGAGAGAAATATTTAAGCCTAGACAATAAAAGTTGTCGTAAAACTTCCCGGTCGGCGGTTCATTAATTTCAAAGATTTATTGGCGTGTAAACTTGTTGAATCAATGCCTGACCGATGGATAGAGGTATTATGGCCGATAGAGGTATTACGAAGTATATTGTTTAAAACCTGATTTCTTATATACTCGAATCTATAAAATCCGACTTTTATTCGATAATTTACATCAAAAACTCAAGTCAGAAATACGAAAAATTGGCTTTATGAAAAAACATATTTGAAAAAAATCTTGCCAATCTAAATAAAAATATGTAATAATTTTATAATTATAGATAACTTGTCTTTCTCTCTAACAAACAAAATTATTGACCACTTATATAAATTCATGTAAACAATGTGATTTTCTTCTGATATTTGTAAAATATTGCATAGATATTTTTCGATGGACATGTCGACAGATATGAGTTAACGGTAGAACCATCCCGTGTTCCAGGTCCGCGCACGAGAAGAGTGAAAAGGACAGACGGACGCGGAGGCGGTACTCCCGAGGAGAAACGTCCCAGGACGGCGTTTAGTGGTGAGCAGTTAGCGAGATTAAAGAGAGAATTTGCGGAGAACCGATATCTGACGGAAAGACGAAGGCAACAACTCTCGAGAGATCTAGGTCTAAATGAAGCGCAGATCAAGATCTGGTTCCAAAACAAAAGGGCGAAAATTAAAAAGGCTAGCGGTCAGAAAAATCCACTGGCACTGCAGTTAATGGCACAGGGACTCTACAATCATTCGACGGTACCGCTTACTAAAGAGGAAGAGGAACAGGCCGTGGAGCTCCAAGCGAAATGACGATTGTAAACTTAAACGAACTCTCGATAAAATCTAGCTTGTAACTTCGAATCCTAAATTTTATATTTAATCCCAAAGATGCTATAAACGGAGATCAAATTACCCTTCATTCGGTTTTGATTCTTCGCATAAGAATTCTTGAGGAAAATCGAGAAGAAAAAATAGAATCTGGAGATACCAGATCAGTTAGTGTAAAAAAAAAATTCTTCCAATATAATTAGAAAATGATGATATTAAAGCCTCACGAAGTAATCTTTTTTTTTGGAGCTAATAACTGTTCTCCTGAAAAAAAACGGGAAACATCATCGAAAAATATTTTAATCTTATTTTGCTGATTTGCAGATTTCTGAAAGTAAGTCATAATCAACCAAAGCGGTGTAAATCTTTATTTAAGAAGAGAAAGAAAGAAAATAAATATATAGTATATATTATTTCGGAGAGTCATTGGCCACAAAGCTAATAAAAAAACTTTTACAGAGCGGGGCAAAGCCTACGGTCTGTCATTTCCCTTCCTTAAAATAAAAGACTGGAGTATTTATTTCGCTAGACATACTAGTACAACTCGTTAGACAGCAAACGAATCAACTTGAGGAATCCTTGTTTCGTAATTAGAGCTTCCGATAGAACAACGTTTGGCGAATGTCGCTCGCCTTCGTTCAACGTAATTGTGAGAGGAAAGTTAGTTACCGAGATGGCTACGTGAATAAATTACGATCACCGTTTCTTGCCAACTTTAAGAGACGACACAAAAATGAAAATTACGACGCTCATAAAATATATGCGTAATATAATATATTTTCCAACGAGAGTGAGTATTATTAGATAATTTTTTCTCACAGAATTTGATCTAAAGAGTTTTTGGCATAAAATGTGTTCGATTAGAGATGGCATGAAGCGGTTAATTTATCACAAAGGAGATTAACAAGTGCCATTTTTTGCATTTTTTCCGGCAAGATTATTTGCGTAAAAATATTACAGAATTGTCTCGTGACGGAAGAAAATAAAGTCGAAAACAAAACCTTTTTCGTTAATTTATTGTAAAAATGTAAGATATTATATATCGCGAAGAAAACTGGAGTGATTGCGATGTGCAATAGAAAATTATACATATAGAAAGAGAAATAAATAGAGATGAGCTATGTATAGGTGTGTTGTATATGTAATCGGCGGAGAGCGACGTGTACATAATTTACCATTTAGCGATGGCAATGTCCCGATAGACTGTTTAAAATGTAACTTAGTTATTTATTTACGTATAGTATATGAAGCGTAGCGAGCGCATACGAACGATCACGCGACAACTGATAACTTGTAAGATTATTTAAATTAAATTCGAATTAAATATTCCCATTATCAAGCGAGCATGATTTATTTTGTCAGCATCTACCTTTCCCAGTCACATGAGTGTTTGCACGGATAAAGTATAATTTGCGACAGACATTGACAGCTGCGTGCCGTGTCGAAAACCTGATTAATGAATTACGTGGTGACGTGTTACCTGCGAGACATGTTACGATCGATGGCTATAATAGGTAAATAAGCCGTTGTGTCACTAAAATGAAAAACATTGCGAATTGCTAGACTTCACAAATGCTTTGAAATCTTCTAAAAATTCATTTAGCAGCATGAAAATATTTACAAATTTTTTATGAAGCTATTTTTTCTATTAACATTATATATATATAAAGATATGTAATTATCAACCTCTAAAAAATTAGATTTTCAACTATTTCTAATAATACTAATGCAAAAAAGTTATTACACACAATAATTTAAAACTATATTGTTTCTATACAATTATTCTATACAAATATAATTTTATTTATGCTGTTATTTGTCGCAGTCAAAGTGCTAAGCATATTTTCTTTAAATATTTTTAGCTATCGACACGATGTAAAGGAAAGCGAGAAAGATAGTCGAGACGATTTCTATAGGGATGAAAGCGGCGGGGCGGGTCGATTCACATTCAGTATTTGGCGCATGCTTCCACCCCCGACTCGTTTCAAGCATCGTGCGAACCCCATGAAAAGCCCCTCCTGCTGGCGAGATATCGATTGATTTACAGTCGAAAGGTGGCCATCGTTGATATCAAGCCAGCCACGCCTACGTTATACCGTAAACGCGTTGCGTGTGTTGCGTTACGCTGATCGTGAGCGGTGTCGGTTAACGCGTATCATACTTCATTTAACCCCGCTGTCCACGAAACTCTATTCTGTCTCCGATCCCTTTCGTATCTCTTTATTACACATTGCTTATCGGGAATTGAATATATTGTTCCGAAAAACGGAAATCTGCGATCTTACGTGAACAATCTATTTCCTCGATACAATTAAAGATATAATATAATTATTTAATCTATAAATATCTCACAGAAAATCCTCCAATAATAATTTTAAATATTTTCCGTCATCAAAATTCAAAAGTCAGAAACCGAAGATACTTGTGGAACATCGAAACTCGAACGCTGCTGTCAAAAGGATGCCTGGTAAGTAATAGGTAGCATTAACGTACAAGCTACGGCAGAGTGGAAGGACTGACATGACGAATAATCGACGATAGTCACTTTCGACTAGACTTCCGTTATACCTTCGTTCACGAAAAGAAATAGCTCTCTTTGACGCGGTGACGATTAGGTGTATCGATATCGTCTTGACTGAGTAAAATTTCTTCAAGATGAGTTACAAGCGCTTAGTCATCATTAATTCCGAGACAAAATTGCCAAAGCACTTTAAACAACTGATTAACACAGCTCCGAATTTATTGAATTATAATATGTTATGAAAATAAGTTACAAAAATAAAAATTATATAGCGTCACACTCAACTCTATACAGAAAATCTCATTGATTTAATTTTTATTCACATATAATTCTATTAAGAGAACAAATATTTGTTATGCAAGCAATTGTTTTATTCGAGAATTTTATAATCTCAAAAAAAAATTTAAAAAAAGAAAAAATAAATAATTCAATCGTCGTCGAAAGCGCATTATTGTGTCGAGTTTCGTCAAACAGATTACCGAAATGTATGCGTTCGAATTTAAATGATTAAATGCCGAAATCGACCGCGTTTTGGCGGTCGGGGAATGTATGGAAATCTATGCCGGTCGCGCCGGGGCGACTAATAATAGCCGAAGTACGACGACCGATCGGCCGACTCCACCGGACCCGGCCAGTGGTCAACGGGCCTAATACGTCCCTGTCAGATTAGAATCGCGGTACTTGACAGACTTGCGCTTCTGTCTGTCCGTACGTCCGGTGATGCCTCCTTGAAGCCGGAGGGAACAGAGGGGAGGGGTCAAACGTCATGCCAGATCCATAAAGACGATCGTTCCTGCTCCTTTGTCCCGGAATCTTTACAAATGAGATACAGAAGAGAAAAGCGAATGCACGTGAGGGGGTACGCAGGCATTAACCCCGGCCGACCCGTTCGGCATTCTTGAAGAACCGCGTATAATCCACGTGAACGAGAGGGGAATTCAGTCTCGAATTATGCATCCGTCTCGTTGGGCTTCGCCTGTGATTCGTTCAACCGTATCTTCGGATACTCGATAAGACGACATTAAAGATAGAGATCTGCATCCATACACATTTAGCACAATGTTACTGCGGCTGAGAATTAAACGGACGTTTACTGATATGTAATCAACGAGCTACCTGATATCGAATCGTTTTATAAATTGATAATAAATTTCTCGAAAGTATCTAATTATTAGGAAATAAATTGAAACTTGCGAATAATGGTCTTATGCATAAAATCGATACGCTTTGCTTTGCTAACAACAACTTCGATATTTTCGATCGCGTCTATAATGATAAAACGCTCTTTCTCTCTCAGAATCGTTTCCGAAGCCTGAGCAAACGGTACCATTTTTTAACCCGGTTGTTAAACTGATAAGAAAATACTGGGATCGTTATCTAAATATCGCCATACTTCCTGCTGTTTGTGTACGAAAGTAGTTGGTCTTCTTAGAATTGATGAACGGGAAATTGAAGGCATTAACGGGTTTATTTCTCTTGCGAGAGTAGCGAGCGAGTTTTATTGCTTCCTTGTTACTCAATAAGGCAACTGTATAGTAGGTGCAATAGATATCTTTGGTAATATAGTTAGGAAGATTAGTTGATTGATCAATTTACATACTTTTCTGTTTTTTTAAATTTTATTTTAAGTATCTAATAGCACGCGTATATATACCACGAATCTAGTGGTGGATTTAATGGTAGATTTCAGATAAAATTATCGTAATCTTTGATACCTAGTATCTATTATATA